AGTTCGGACAGGCCGTTGCGGATTATGAAATTCATGTCCCCAGCATGCTCGATGACAGTGTGAGGAATTCGACAAGAATAATCTTGTGTTCAGGCGAGAGATTTTTTTTTAGATAATTTCTATCATTGCGGTGTAGAATCGCGAACGTAATCTCTGGCCTGACCCACTTTGTTTCATATAGGGGGCTCAGGATAGTTGTATCGTTCAGTAGTTCGAGTAGATCGTTTATCTGGTACTCGAGTTTCAGGTATAAAGCGTCAATATCATCAGTGGGTGTAGGAGCTGTCTGGAGCTCATGGGTCGTCGATGCAGTTAGTAGTAGCGGTCGGGCTACTGGACTGGAGCTGACTCCTCTTCATGGGGAGTTTGCAGCGCTGGTTCAGCAGGCTGAGGTGCAGTGAACCGACGAGGCGAAGTGTGGGCCGTGGGACCATTACTTGGCACCTCCAGAGATGGAGCAGGAGGGCGCTGATGCAGAAGGTGGTACCTCCACAGATGAAGCTGGGGGTGCTGGAGCAGGGGGCCGAGGCGCAGCTGATCGATGGGGCGAGGCCCGGGCCGCGGGATTAATGTGTAAAAAGAGAAGAGAGAGAGAGAAAGAGAATTGAGTTTATAAAATAATGAATATCATCGTCAAAATAGAAGCAAAGCGTTATATAAGCTAAAGTGCCGGCTAGGGGTTCGGTCGACTAGTGGTGTAAACAGTCACATCCCGGGTTCTCGAATTTTGCATTGTGCACATTTTTAATAGAATAATTGAGCTTATGGTTTTCGAATATTTCCGAAGTCCAAACCACCAGTGAGTACAATAACTAAACATATATCTGGTATACTTGTAATTGAAAAGTTGGAACCGCTTTCTCAATGCGTAGACATGTGCTACATTTACTGTTTTCTATTATTACCCCTAGACCACGTGGTACATTCCATGATAATCATGGTGGGTAGTTAGCGACTGCTCTTACTGTAAGAGCACCACATGTCTACACATGTGAAAAGTAGTTCGACACTGCACTTATGCAATGCAAAATGTACCAGAGCCCCGTTGCATTTATAGTAAAAGTAGTCGCCAACCTCTATCCACCATGATTATCGTGACCTGTATCACATACACTAAAAATTCTGCTTTACATATGAAAGTAAGACGTATTGAAATACAAGAATAGAAGCTCATATATAAACCTAATATAAACTTTAAATGATTATATACAATTAAGTACAGTCGCAGCTAATCTAACGATAAAGAGTTTCCTACAGACAATCAGCCTGTCTTTACCCAGTCCTCTCATCCCAGTTATCAGGAAAAGCCTATTCATGCCCTGGTCGAATTAAAGATAGTAACGAAGATCTCATTCATTCCTTGCCCGAAAGGTCATCCCTGCAGGCCAAGTTGCCGCTAGATGATGTTAATCAGGCAGAAAGAGAAATCATATTTCTAATACTTTTCAGATTAATTTTAAAATATTAAAAATAATAAGATCTATTTTATCTATATCATATAAATTCAAAACACCAGATTAACATTTCAAGTATTTAATCCTTAATAATGATCAAATAAATTATAGATGTGAGATCATCTTTGAAATTTCAATCGTCAGAATATTTAACTTTTCGTTAACAACAATCATTGAATTATTTATTTTTAACTCCGCCTTTGCCGGTCCCAAGCCCGGATGAAAAAGGAGGAGGGGGAGCAGTAACAAGCTCACTAAAAAAACCTGGGCTCAGCTGGCTCGGCTGAAAGTACCCTGTAAGGGCTCCTAATCCAGGGATACAGGATGAGCAGCGTTTGTACTCCATGTTAGGAGCGGCTGCACATGGCGTCTGTTCCTCATGTCAGAGGCGGCTATTTCTTTTGGAGCTAAGTCGGCCTGCCACTGAGTAGTGCTCCCAGTCTTAATGACGAAGGCAGACGCATACTACTTCACCCAATCATGATGGTTGTCAAACAGACACCATCAAAAAGCTTTACAAGCTTGATACCCTGATATGATTGAGTGGAGATAAGAAAGAAGGAGAAGATTGAATTATTTTATAATAACATAATTATAGTACAATATATATAGAATCTTACTGTTATATATGAAGAAGTCAATTGCTTTTTTTACTTCTTTTATATTTTTACATGGATTGCTTTTCGCGTTCAATATTGTTTAAGAGACTATCCAATAGGTAGAAATAAAAAATACATGTCAGAAAATTGCGCTTTCCAAAGTATTCATAAGACCATTAGAAGACATAAATAAAATAACTAATTCTAGGATTGTTAAATATATCACATTTAAAATGTATATACAAAAATACTAATAATATGTACACTAATATATTATCAATCTCTCGTAAGCTGGTAAAGTGGCAAGAGCCGATTTTCAGGTTATAATACTGTAATGATTCCATATGCAAATTTTATTCTTAAAGAAAAAATGCAGCATATATGTAGATATGTATTAATTTTATGATAGAAAATTAAATATGTAAAAATGATTGGATGTATATAGAGTGTAAGAGGAGAGTGAAAGTATCTTATTTATAGAAATAAATGGTTTATATCTTATAGTGTTCGTCAAGTGCTATTTTTGTTAGGTAGAGAACACAACAAATACAACATAAAGATGTGGGAAGCTTAAACATCTGTTTGGTGATTTCAACCGACTTCATAACCCATGGATGTTATGATATTTGAATCTTCTCTGTATACTGATGAAGGCGATAGCCCCAGACCAAGGTATAAAGGTTGTCATTTGTCTAAAATTTCCAAAACTGGTGTTTTGGATCATTATCATTAGTAAGGTTTTTACTAGGATGATGAACAGTGCATCGTTTTGATGCATAACTAAAAAAGGAGATGCCTCTTTAAAAACATATATAAATATATAGAGTATAAAGAATCAACTTCATTTTCATATCAGCTATTATTATTCAACTTTACTTTTAAAATAAAATCAAAAGTATCAGTTAATTTTTAAATTTCGAAGAACAATTTTCAAACGATAATAAAATAAATTTTTCAATAACAAATTTAGAACTACAAAACAAAACACATCATAAAAACATAATAAAAATTATACATAATTGAAAATAAAGGAAATATAAATATTTCTGAAAAAGATTTAAAATTTTATAAATGTTAAATAATTAACTTTTATAGAGATTTCTCTAAAAATAAAATAAATGTATTAAAACGCTTTAAAGAAGCTCTTATTATCTAAAATATCGATTGAAGTATATAATACCAAAAGGTAAACCTACATCCTTTATTGAATCTATATTGATCCTAGACTAAATGGCAAGATATAGTGGGCTAATTAAAAATTCCAATAATTGAAAATTATAAAAGTTGATAAAACATGCTGCAACGGTTTTAATATAAAATTCATTATCTTCCAAAAATTTGATAGCTTTTTTTTTTCTTCTTTCCGAAAATAATTTGAAATTCAATTTTATTACTGTCAATTTTACAGAAGATACATTGGAGGTATAGATAGTGGAACTTTATAGATATTTATTATTTTTACTCAATTAAAATTGATATTTATTTTGTTTTTTATTTGTTTATTTCAACTCAATATTTCTGAAATTGTTTCTCACTATATTTTAATAATATTGCTTTCATATATTTTATATTCATTTTGCATATATACAAGGTTTGTGCAAAAATACTGAGGCTGTTATATATATTTGCATTTGAGAAAAACAAAAATAGAGATTATAATCTCTGACTGCTTCAAAATAATAGTTTTTGACCAATATATCTACTTTATATTTTCTGAGAATCTTTAAATCTATCATACAAATCACTTTCTGAGAACCTACGAAATTTATTTTTTTCATTTTGTTGAATGTTGTTAAAATTATCTAATATTATACCATCAAGAGACATTTTTAATATTAAAAATTATAAATATAAGTCTTACTTGGTGAAATAATATGCATGTGGAACTTTTGTGATAGAATTATTTGGCAAATAATTTGGTATCTTGACAGATTTATGTTGGCTGGCATTGTCAGGGATATAAGAAATCAATAACAATTTTTTACCACCCAACACCAAGCATTTTCATAGGAAAGACTTTAATGTTTATTAACACTTTTTTAATATTAATTTGGAAAAGGCTGTTCATTGAATATAATTGAATAAAAAAAGCAGGCGTACCAGGGTATCTATTAAAAATGTTTTTTTTTTATTATTTCGAGGGATTGCTCTCCCTCTTTTTCAATTTATCGCACAAAAAAACTTTAATTTTTTTCCGTGAAATAACTTGATAAATAGAGAGCATTCCCTTGAAATATTTTGACAAAATTGCTTTTCTTTCATGGATCCAGGTAAGCACTTTAAATAGAACAAGTGTTGTAGATTGAATATTTCTCCTTCAGGTTAAATGTACGAATTATATTACAACGATAAAATAATGGTGATAGTAATGTTTTGATTTTTGATACGAAAAAAAGGAATATTTTAAGATATTTTAAATTCCACCATTTCATGCGCTTTGTCGTTTGTTAACGAATCACATATAATGGTAGTACCTAATTCACCACACAGAATATTATTTTAAAGTTTTTATATAAACACGTTTAGCGAGAGTTATATAATATTTTAATTTAATGCCTTTTCTGTTTCAAGGTAATTTTATTTTATATTTTGAGAGTTTTTTCAGCATGTTAAAAATACCCTTTTAAAATGTCATGCAAAAACTTTATAACGATATATATATTTTTAAATAGAGCAATCCAGAAATATATTTTCAATTAAAAAGGCATATATTGGATCAGAATATCATTTATTTTACCAATATTTCAGTTAGCTGAACGGTAACCTTTATCAAGGTATTATAACATATTAATGTTTTGTAAAACGAAAACTGAAATTATACCGCGAATGTTTCTTTTATAAAAATCGAAATTTATTTTCAAAGAGAAATAGCGACATTTCCAACCTTGAGGATGAGGCACGGAAAGGTGAAACATGAAGAGCAATGGCGAACGGAAAAATAAAAAGTGTCCAGGGGCGGGAACCGAACCCACACCCTTCCGCCCACCGGGCAGGCGCCCCGTCCACTCGGCCACCCCGGACGCACCCTTCCGTTCGCCATTGCCCTTCATGTTTCACCTTTCCGTGCCTCATCCTCAAGGTTGGAAATGTCGCTATTTCTCTTTGAAAATAAATTTCGATTTTTATAAAAGAAACATTCGCGGTATAATTTCAGTTTTCGTTTTACAATCGTCAGCCGCGTTATATTGTATATTAATGTTTTATAATACCTTGATAAAGGATGGCGTTCAGTCTATAGATATATTGGTAAAATAAATGATATTTTGATCCAATATATGCTTTTTCAATTAAATATATTTTTGACGTGACAACGTCTTAAATTAGGTTGCGGCTGGGAGTCACTTATGAAAAAGTGTAACGCCCGGTAACGTTACGATGAGTCATCGAACGAGAGTGCTGCGCGCGCAGCTGCGCGCGCAGCGCTAGAGAATTAGGCGCATTGAATCGGCGCATGCTTGTCTCTGTCTTTGTCTTTCTCCATTGCGCTTTTCAAAGTATTCACAAGACCATTAGAAGACGAAAATAAAATAACTAATTCTAGGATTGTTAAATATATCACATTTAAAATGTATATACAAAAATACTAATAATATGTACACTAATATATTATCAATCTCTCGTAAGCTAGTGAAGTGGCAAGAGCCGATTTTCAGGTTATAATACTGTAATGATTCCATATCCCCCCCCCCCCCCGAAGTTGATCCACTTTGCCGTAGTGGGGGGGCCCGAGTCCGACTTCCAAGTCGTTCCGCCAAGAGATCAACACCACAGAGGTCCGTACGTCTCTTGACCTCACGGACAATACAGCAGCTACATTATGCACTCATGATATGTCTTCTCTCCACCTGAGCTACGCAGAAAGGAAGCCACCAAGAAAATGTACCAAAAACTCTTGGATTCACCCGACCTCGAAATTAACCCTATCCTACAGTCTCCCCCAAATCATAGACTAAAATCAAGGAAGCCGATATGGTCCAGAGGAAATCAACTTCTCTCCCAAAATTTTAATATCTCAGAAGCATGGACAAATTCCTGGATCAGCTCCGATATCCCAAACAAGAACCTCATCACAAGCCCAAGTGTCAAGATCCCAGGTTTTTCCCTCCCTCGACGAGAATAGGTGCTTCTAAACCGCTTTAGGACAGGTCAGGGAAGGTGTGCAGAGCTGATGAAGTTATGGGGCTACACCAAAGATCCAAATTGTGCCTGCAACGTCCCACAATCAATGTCCCATATACTAGATGACTGCCCGCTGTACAAATTCAATGGAGGAATCTCCAATCTCCATTCTGTCACCCCGGAAGCCCTGAACTGGCTGAAGGCCTTGCCTCTCAGACTTTAATGACCGATATGTCCTCACTTCTTTTTGACGTGACAACGTCTTAAATTAGGTTGCGGCTGGGAGTCACTTATGAAAAAGTGTAACGCCCGGTAACGTTACGATGAGTGATCGAACGAGAGTGCTGCGCGCGCAGCGCTAGAGAATTAGGCGCATTGAATCGGCGCATGCTTGTCTCTGTCTTTGTCTTTCTCGAACGTTCTTGGCGTTGGAAAAACAAGAAAGCGTCATAATACAAGTTCACACGTGTGGTTAAAGTATCGTCAGCTGTGTCTGTAGTGAAAATGTGGAGTGCTTAGATTCGTCATTTACAACAACTACAACAATAAAGGTAAATAATTGTACACTGATATTTCATTATCGTAAACTATGATTGATTGATTAATTGTTAGATTGACACAAAAGTTGAGAAACTGAGTTTATAGGTTATGTCATACTATTGATAAATGTTGATAGTGTTAAGTAAATTATTAGTTTAAAATTAATTAATTAATTAATTATTATTTTACAAATTTTAAATAGTTTCAAATTTATTTAGCAAAAATTTGAACCTTCGATCTGAATAAATGTTTTGATTTTCGAATTGATTCTTTAAAATTACAAATATTAAGAAAAAGTGGCAGATATAAGAAAACTTTATTTAAACTGTGTTGAGCAAGAATTTTAACATCTAATTTAAGTAAATGTTTTAATTTTCAACTTCATCATTTACAATTACAAATTTTATTTAATTTCAAATTTATTTAGCAAAAATTTGAACCTTCGATCTGAATAAGTGTTTTGATTTTCAAATACCAACGCGGCTGGTGGAGTGGCGATCTATCGTAAATTATCATCGACATCTACGGCGGAAGTGTTCCAAGTTGCGATTACAGACGTAACTCGTGTCATTAAAACCAAGGGTGACATGTGCATGACTGAAGTTACTTGCTTCGCCGCTAATACTAGCTTCAAGTTTATACTCGGTGCTGTATATATTCATCCAGGAGCTAGTATGCAGGATATTGGAATGTTACTATGACAAGGACTCGGTCCGTACATTCACAACAGCCAGTACGTGCCACCGTTCGTGCAAGTTGATTCTAGTATACCGATTCTTCTGTGTGGTGATTTTAACAAAAACGTAAAGCCTGACAACTCGTTTCTTAAATTCATGAAAAATACGTATAATCTTGATTGCGTATCAAACGTTTCTAAGTCAACTACGTTAAAAGGAACAACTATCGACTTGACTTTCGCAAGACACATTACAGCAGAAACACTTCCTTTCATTTCATATTTCTCCTATCATCGTCCTATCCTCAACAAAATCACTCAAATAGGAATTAGTTAAGTTTTAGTTTACATGTACAATGTTTTAGTAAACAAAATATATTTCTATAGTTAAAATTTGTGCAATTCTTATTTTCATTCAATTCCTTGTTCCTATTGTGCAATTTAATTATATTCATATCAATAAATATTCTACCGTTGTCACGTAAAATCTTCGCCCGTAAAACCGACTTTACAGGCAACCATTTTTTTTTTCTCTTCTGAAAACTTGATAAGACATCTATCTTGGGTAAGCTATCAAACGTTTTCTTTTTCTCGATAATGTCTGGAACAATGCTTATCGAAGGTCTGTTTAGAATAGATACCTCTTTGATATGTTCTAAACGTTTTTCAAAATTATGATTGCCGTTTGAACATAACTACCAGATAATGTAGCTTTACTTTGAAATTTAAAAATCATTTAGTAGGTTTAATTTGGAGATTTAAAGAGTTTTCCAAACAACATTTTACGAGGTACTTTAATCAAATATCAGGATTTTCAAAAAAGAAAAATACCAGATCAAAAGAAAATTTCATTTAATAATTTCCTATATAATCTCCTTATATAAACATTGATACCTTCTCGTTCACTAATATTCCTATCATTTTCATAGTCGTTTTCATTCATGCATCTGAAAATATTTTAGATTATGAATTTTCGTGGCTCGATTCGCTCTCTTTAAGAGACCTTTTTATTTTACTACATAGGAAACGATGTCATTTGTGACAATATACGGTGAGAAAGGAGCCTAAAGATAACATAGGTATATCATTCTCTTAGGGAAATATTTTCAAAACAGCAACACAACCAATTCCACCCAAGTAGTCATTATCGTTGAATGTTCTTCTAAGATAATTCATTTATTTTGGTAATATTTACTGCTTTTTGAATATATTTATCAGAATTTGAAATTAAATAAATTATTCCTCTCTTTCAGAATAAGGTTAAAACATCAGCCTTCCTGGGATATCCTTATTTTCAAATGTTTATTAAGGAATCTATCACCAGAAACTTTGTATTTTCATATTAGGTTTTTCTTCTCTAAAGATCATCCGACTCTTTGTTTATCTTGGATTTATATTTGTCATTTTTAAAGTGGCTATATCATTTATAAACTACATTTTTATTTAGACTTCCCTAGCCTTTCGAAGCATTAACAAGGATTTTGTGACAGTATTCTTATTTTTCCCACATAGAAACCAATATGAGAACATTGCAGATAACACACTGAACAACAACAAAAAAATCAATATATTATTAAAACTCGAGAAGATATTTAGAAAAGAACGCTTGTGGTTTGAATACCTAATGTTCACGAATTGTTAACACGTGCTGTAAACCTCTTTTCTAATCATATAATTCATTAATATTTTAAATATAGATTTACCTAAGCATATATATTATGATAAATAAATTGATATTGTTATTTTTATTTAATTAAAAAGGAATCAAGAATTTTGTTTCATTTTTTATTTCTTTTATTTCTCGAACTTTTGGGCTAACATGCCCTTCAACACGTCACGTTAAGAAGTACATCAGGATCTCCGTGTTGAGAAATAAAAGAAATAAGAAACCCTTGATTCCTTATTGATTAAATTAAAGTGTAAAAGCAGAGAATAATCTATAATTTAAATGTTGTTTAGTCTGTTTGATAGCTCATATGATTCGCCAACCATAGGCTTTTTGAATCAAGGTTCAAACTCTACCCAAAATATCATATTTTATTGAAAATATATTAAGATTAATAAAAAATATATTATTATATTTACCTTTTTATATTGATTTTAATTTTATCTCTTCGGCCTATATACATATAGGTTAATGTCTAAACCTTTCTATTCCAGGATTCCAGACGAAGTTTCTCCTCACAAAAATTCTCAAATCATTTCGAAAGGACATTGAAGTTATAAAAACATAACAATAAAAACTTTTTTTCAGAATATAGTAGAAATATTTGAAAATAGATCAATCATTAAATAAATATATATGCCTTTTCATTTAAATAATATAAATATAATATATTTAAAATAATATTTAATTCAAATTATAAATAAATTAAAAATCAATGAACAAATAATATGCCCATCAAAAATGGTGCATAAATATATATCACAAAATAAATTCTTATTCTTGATAAAAAAAGAATAAAATGCAATATTTGTTCTTTACATATCATTAATTTGATTATGATGATTTTTCAATCTTCTCTTACAATAGATACTACTTTGTATATACAAAATAAATATATTTATATCTTTCTTTAATATAATTAATATATTTATCAATTACGATTTTTCTTATTTGAAGACGTTGTATTTAAGTGCGCAGTTTTAGAACCTTTAATTAAATTGACAATAAATCATTTTTTG